TAAGTGTGTTGAAAATATTTATAAGTACAAGCATATGACAAGTATGCCTCCAGCAAGGCTTCTTGACAAAATGTTAGGCCCAATGGGAACACAGCATTGTTACCCCAGAGGAGCTACAGCAACAGTGAGTATTCCATACAAAAAGTTCTACAGCCATATACAGTGGCCCATCAGGAGTCCTTTATCTGTTTATATCATCCCACAAGGATTGTCAAGTACCTAAAAAGCCTGGCATAGATAGATAGATAGATAGATAGATAGATAGATAGATAGATAGATAGATATGTCATAGCTACAGAGCCATGCAGATGTTTTAGGCAAATGCATTCTAGGTTCAGGCTCCTACTTGGAAATGATGCTGAACCTTCATTTACTCTCTTATAGGTTCTGAGATAATTGCTTCCTTCAAAATGAGATGTAATTACTCCCTCCCATGCCTAAAGAAACAGCCTGACAAAAAGCAAGTTATCCACGCTCTTCCTGCAAGAGCATTTCGTCATTCAGTTGGTGAGAGGTGGCTTCTCCTCTACCGAGCGAGGCTGCTGCTCGCTTGCTTGAAAAAGTGTGGCCAGATTTATTCCTTTGTTCTGCGGGCTTTGCCCCACACCCCATCGTGACGCGCCTCAGTCCCTTCTCGCCTCCACTGTGTTGGTGGCAAACTCTTAATCTGTTGTCCCTCAGGTTGTTTCCACACACAGCTGCTTCTCCCACAGGCAAAGCCATCTTCAGGTCTGTTGGCTGTCACAGGCAAGAGGCCTGCAGTCCCTTCCCCTGTTGATTAGGACAAGCACGAATAGACTTCTTTTTGATGTTAGCTGCGTGCAGACTTCAACACCCTGAAGAAAATAAGCTAATGATTCACGTGCTGCAAAACAATTATTTGCTCTCTCACTTGTAAAGAAAGCATTTGACAGGTTATAGGGTGGCTTTTCTTCTTGTTTAAAAGCTGGGTGCAAAATAAATTTGAGGTGGGAGTGTGCACAGTTTATACAGATCATCCATCGTATCAAATATATGGCTTCTTGTTCAGAAACTGGCCTCCATGAGATGCTGAGGGGAGGGGAAAGCTTTCCCGGACTTTGCCCAGGATTCAAGTCCTCAGGTGCACCCATGAATATGTATTGAAGACAGGTTTGGGTCTGGATATATGTGAGTTCACTTATTCTCCAGGGACTCCATGACCAGTTAAGGTCTATCACTACCTCAACAGCTCCTCAGTTTCCACAGAGCACCCCAAGAATGTCAAAAGCATCATGATAAAATTCTCGGTTTATATGAATAGAAAGAAAGAATTGAATAGCATAAAATTACACATTGCGTGCATATGGTTGCATACCTGGCCGTCCCTATATGAATAGTCTCTTCTTTTTGTGGCATGTGGTAAGCCCTGGGCTTTAAATAAGGGGCTGCCAGCTCTGCAACTGTAGACAGCTGACCTCAGTTTGAACCTGACTTATTTTTGCACATGGCGCTTGTAAAGTGATAACTGGAGTGGGTGAGGGTTAATATTTTTTTTATGATGCAGGCATGTTTAAAGTACAGATCTGCCAGTGCTAAATGCAGGAGGTGTTTTGAAATTCAGGGCTGCTGTGTTTCTGTGCCCCCCAAAATAGTATCTGTAGTAGCTCACAGAAAAATGGCAAGGCACAAGAGCTGAAAGTCTCTGTTCATAATATTAAAAAAAAACACATTTATTCATGCCTGGCAGCCTGGTTCCATCCAGGGAGGAAACCCTGCCAAAGTAAATAATTCCAGAGAGCACCGGAGATAAGAAAGAGGCAAAGGAAGGGGTCTTAGCAGAAATTACTGGGCTATAAAGAATAACAAGAACTTCAGAGAGGTTAAATCTTACTTGCAGATATAGAAGCCTCCAACAGACAGCTAGTGTGCTTAATTCAGGCAATGGGGAGGTATTGGAGACACCCACCATTTGACTCTCTTTGCATTCAAGTTTCTGGGGAGGGGGAGGAATGAAAAGCAGTGTCTAGACTTATCAAAAGACCTCTGAGCTGTAGATGCAGACCTACACAGTTCCAGCAAAATTCCAGCTGCTGTTTGCATCTTGGTAACCTCCACGGTTACTGTAAGGATTAAAAGAATTAACAAAATTCCATAGAAATTTTGTCTTGAGGAATGCTAAGTACTGAGTTTCTTTTGGGGTGGGGTTCCTACTTACTGTGGATGTACTTATTAAAATGAAGGTAATTTAATAAAGATGATGAAAGTGTCCTTTAAAATATTATAATAAAGCAGGGTATGAAAACTTGTTTTAGCAAGAGAGACGCAATCACTTTTGGGCAATCTTTGAGGGTCAGGTGGGGTGTTACATGCTAGCAAGGGGCAGGATCCAAACCAAAGGTGATGCCAGGGAGCAAAGCTGCATGCAACGTGCTTTCACAGCCACACCACATTAACACAGCTCATGCACATAAATTCATCTGCGCATCCACACCTGTGACCTAGATGCTTTTGGACTGCTATATCCTCTGTGGAAGTGTGTCAACAGAATTTTGTTGTTTTTCTTCAGTGGTACTTCATATATATATATTTGCTTCTTTCTGACTTATATTCAGTTGTATTCCAAGGGCTTTGAGCAGTTGGCTGCAAGGCTGTTTTATAAGATAAAGCATAGAAAGATCCCCATTCCCAGGACCTCACAGTCTAAATATTCAGAAGACACAGAAAGCCAAGGCACAGAAGAGGAAGCACCAGCTCAGCAACATCTGAATTTGAGTAGATAGTAGTCACAGCATAATGTGGTACTTAGGCTGAAGTCACACAATAATTTCTGAGAGCTGGAAGTGGTCTGAAAGAGGTGTATCTTCTTCTGCATCCATATTTTATTTGTCCCACTGTCATCTCTGATCAAACAGGGTTGGTAAGGTTTTAACCTGTTTAGCTGAGGGGCTCAGCATACATAGTTTCCCAACAACACTGGGTTTTTTTTATCTAGTTACACTGAATCGCATTCTGTCATTTCATACCTCCCCCTATTGCTTTCCCCACTTAAATTCATTTTCTCATTCTTCTCCCATGGAAACAGTCGTTTTCCCATTTCCAATACAGTGCTACTTTGGGTTAATAACGTAATTCGTTCTGGAGGTCCCTTCTTAAGCTGAAACTGTTCTTAACCTGAAGCACCACTTTAGCTAATGAGGCCTCCTACTGCCGCTGCTATTTCTGGGTTACTGGAGTCTGTAACCTGAAGCGTATGTAACCTGAAGCGTATGTACCGGTAACCTGAGGTACCACTGTACCTGCAAAGAAGCAGACTGCAGGGGGAAAGCACCGAGAAGGAACTGCAGACAGGTTTGTTCCCTACTACCATAACAACCTGCATTGTTGATATAATTCATTCCTGTAAATTAAGCACTGATTATAACACACCGTATCTCTCCTAAGTATTTAGACACCAAGCTAACACTAGCAGGTTCCATATACACTGCTGATGACAGAGAAAAGTTTTGTTAACTAACCAGAAAAAGAAGAAGGCCCAACCATTTTAAATGCCTTTCTAGGCCTCTAACAGGTGCGTGGTCTGGAGAAATCAGCCAATCAAGCCTTTTACTACAGAGAGATGCACATCATCGCCTGCTAACATCAAATCAAGCTGCTGTTAAAGGCATTAAAACAGGTGACAGCTCCTCCAGTGAGGAGGCAGTTGCTTAATTTAGATTCTGCAACACCGGGGGGGGGGGGAGTAGGGCAATTTCATATATGAGGTTTAAATTAGCGTTTGCTTAAGTTAGTGCACGTGGTGAAAGTAAAACCTGTGTTGGCTGTAATGCACATGGACAGTACAATCCCATGTGTGGAAATAGCACTGTGTTCAACTGGCCTTACTACCTGGTAAGTGGGTTTAGCATTATAGCCTTATAGCACCATCTCCTACATTTTTACTTGGAAATAATTCCCATATGAATTTGTATCTTTTTGACTAAAATGTGGATTGTTGTTTTATTGCAACCCCTTAGTGCTTCTTGATATTGTTGTTCACACCCCAGTCTCTAAGGTTTCAGGAGACCCAGCCTCTGCCTTTCTCCACCTACTTGAAACAAAGTACAATCATACTTTGGAAGTCAAATGGAATCCGTTCTGGAGGTCCGTTCAACTTCCAAAACATTCGGAAACAAAAGCACAGCTTCCGATTGGCTGCAGGAAGCTCCTGCTGCCAATCACAAGCCCCGTCGGACATTTGGCTTCCGAAGAACGTTCTCAAACCGGAACACTCACTTCCTGGTTTGCGGCGTTCGGCAGCCAAAACGTCCGAGTACCAAGGCGTTCGGGATCCAAGGTACGACCGTACATAAGAGACTGATACCATTTTTGTAAGACAAGCTTTACACAACACCTATACAGGCTGAGCATAAAATGGAAGATTCAGGATGTTCTGCTCCAACATGTTCTGCTCCTGCATTAGTTTTCTAGGGTAGTCATCAAAGATTTCTGACAGAAAGCAAGTCTCTGTGCCTGTTTTTTAGACTCCATATCCAGGACTGCCAGTCTTTATTCTCTTCCACGTAGAGAACCTTGATGATGTTGTCTCCAGGAAAGGGAGGGGAAAGAAATACGCCCTTCCAAAAGAATATCCAGCTCCTAGCTATGTGCAGCAACACATCAGCTGTGCTTGGGCATCTCTTTACTTACGGCAAGGGCCCATTTCCCCAGCAAAAGGACATCTGGAACATAAACTGCTTTGTCTCTTTTAAAAACCTGTGTGTGTGTGTGTGTGTGTGTGTGTGTGTGGTCCCTCCCTGCCCCCCGCCCCCCAAATAAATTTTGTAACTCTGGTCTCTTTTTACAAGCAGAGTCACAATATTTTTGGGTTGGGGGAGGGACCACAAAAACCCATTTAGTCCAACCCCAATCTCATTATGATATACTGTTTTAAGAACTGTGTATTGGTCATTAATCAAAATCCAATGCTTGTTTGCTCAGAAGTAAATGATTAATCCCATTGTGCCTAACTTTGAGGTAAGAATTTTGGATTGTATGGTCAATTTCTCCTCAGCATTCCTTCATGTATTAGCAACTTTCCTAGCAGACGATGGTGTTTTTAGTGTGGCAGTGGTCAGGTGGCTCTTCTTAACTTCAGCATACGTAATTCTGTGATAGCTTGTTCTTCACTTACGCCAAAGCAAGGCAAACTTTTTTTGCACAGATTGCTATGGATTCTGTTTCTTGATCTGCGCAGCTCTGATCGCTTTGACGCAAGGCTTCTTGTCAGCTGCAAGGCAGACTAATTTAGCTACAGAAGATGAGTCAACCTTTGTTTTGCTTTTTTTGCCTTTCTGGCTCTCATACAGCTTCTGACCACAGTTCAGCCGACAACACATTCTTGGAGGTAATTGCAGTCCTGTTAAAGGGAGTAAGGGAAGTTCTGTGGTTAGGCCACAGAAATGTGTCAGGAGATTATCTGCACACTTGCTTCTCAGAACAATCTCATTGATGCTTTAGGGGCTTCTGTATAATAATAATAATGTCTCACCTGCTCCAGTTGAATCTATTCCCCTACTGGGCAGACTAGGCTGGGTATGCTCTCTAAATCCCTAATGCACATTTGAAACATGTTTTCCCTCTCAAAGAATTCTAGGCACTGTAGTTTGTTACGGGTTGCTTATAATTATTACTCTGTGAGAGGTGGACTACAGGTCCCAGAATTCCTTGAGGGAAAGACTCTGTTGCAAATGTGCTTAAAGGGTGTGCACAGCCCAAGATTCTAGAGTTTGCCACATTTACACCTAGAACTTGCAGACTGCATATTATTATTATTATTATTATTATTATTATTATTAAACTATGCACCGATTCAATAATGATATATACTGCAACAATACAAATGGATACCTTTAAGATACCTAGACAATGAGGGGGAAATTCATTTTATGCAAATATAGTGGTACCTTGGTTCTCAAACTTAATCCCTTCCAGAAGTCTGTTCCAAAACCAAAGTGTTCCAAAGCCAAGGTGCGCTCTCCCATAGAAAGTAATGCAAAATGGATTAATCTGTTCCACTTTTAAAAACAACCCCTAAAACAGCAATTTAACATGTATTTTACTATATAACGAGACCATTGATCCATAAAATGAAAGCAATAATCAATGCACCGTACTATAAAGTAAATAAAACAGTATTGTAGATGATAAAAATTAAAATTATTATTTCTTCTTACCTGCACTGATGATAGTCGTTGTTTGGATGGGAGGCTTTTATCCATTTCCACAATCACACAATCAGTAGCTGAACAGGGTTCCACATAGTCACAAAAACAAATTAACCGAAAAAGCCTCAAAAACAAAAACACAAAATAAATAGCAAAAACAAAAGCGCCAGACTTAATCCATTCTGGAAGTTCATTTGACTTCCGAAATGTTCGAAAACCAAGGCGCAGCTTCTGATTGGCGCATTGGACATTCGGCTTCCGAAAAGCATTCAAAAATTGGAACGCTTACTTCCGGGTTTTTGGCGTTTAGGAATCAAGGTGTTTGAGAACCAAGGCGTTTGAGAACCAAGGCATTTGAGAACCAAGGTACTACTGTACCATAAAAGTTCTTGGAGTGGGACATACAGTGGAAAAGCCAAGGGAAAGCTCATTTACTACCATAACAACCTTAGAGACCCATAGCAAATAAATGAAACAGAATAAAATCCATCCATAGTATTCACAACAAAGGGCAACACAACCTAAGATCTCAGAGCAAACATTCTCAACAGGAGGGAAACTGGAAGACAATTGCAAGGTGGGGAAAACAGATAGTGGGAAAAGAATGGAGCATCTTCCTCCTCACCAATCCTCTCCCAATTTCAGCCTCCCAATGCCACCTTTTATTTTTTTTAATCAAAAGAATGCAGTGCACACCATATGTGGTTTCAGCCTCTGTCACTGGGGCTAAATAGTAACAATGGTGACATCCCCCCCCCTTCCTTCCACTAATGTTTTTAGATCCAGCGTTAGCAGTTTATAATTTTGGCAAATTAGTTGAGTATGTGGGTGAAGAATGGGGACAAGGCAACAATAATGCAACAGGTATAATCCTCCAACTCCTGCTCCATAAATTATACATTGATTTTGGGAAGTGAGTGCCATTCTTGCAGTCAGTCTTCGATTTCATAAAGGCAGGTTTGTAAATCTCTTTGGAAATAGACGCAAGCTGTGTAAAGAAGCAAAAAAGTAAATTCTATGTGAATAAGTTTTCCAAGACCAGTTATATACAAAGACGCAGATGAAACGGAGCTTTTTGTTCGTATAGATTTCTGCTCATGCAGGCCTGCGTGTAGATTTAACATTTAATTATATGTCTTTGGGGGGGTAAAGCCAGCCAAAAACTGTAATTAGATTCCATGTACTGCAGAGATATTTCTGGAGATAATCGTGTGGTGGGAGAAGAAGCAATTCATGCAAGGCCTCTGCCCAAATGTAGATTTATTATACACAAACTGTAAGGGCAGAGGGACGTGTGTGCTATTTTCTGCCATCTGAGTGTAATTTATATTCTTGTATGAATATTTTAATAGCATGCAAATATTCCACTCTAAACTGAAGCACCAAACGAATTCCCCAATAGAGCAACTGCCACAAATGATCACAACTTAATACTGCAGAATTAATATAGGACATGTTCTTTCTCCCATTATCAAGGAATAGGCTAATCTCCAACATCCCAAACATTTCTGCTGACATATCTGTCTTGCAACATTCAACAGTGGGCTGTTTCTGTGGTGTGAGCATAGTATAGTGTTTTCTGGTGGCATGTACTGGAGGAGTCAAATGAGCTGTGCCCCTGGCGCATGTCTGTTCAGTTGTTTTATCATTAGACTGCAAATGTACAGGGTAAGAACCAAAAAATGTTTGTCAAATTGAGGAGCCGCATAACTCCATGGCAATCTGCTGCAATGCACTTTTATTTAAAAATCATGTGTACGATCGCTTCCTTGCAAGGTTCTTTATACACACACACACACACACACACACAGTCCTTGTTCCAAATATAGGCTCGGTGTTGAGGGATACCTTTTCTCCTGCATGTGGCAGCCTCTTATGTGAATTGAATGATGGTAAACGACATTACACCCTCTGCTCATGGTGGGATCCTTAAGATGGTCAATTTGCCATGAAAATGGAGCTCCCTGATTAAAGGCAGAAAACAGACACCACTAGCATACGGGAATTGTAATTTACAACCCAACAGGGGGAGCTGTAGCAATGATGTAAAACTCTGAGTAACGACTTAAGCAAAGAATCATTGGGTCTAGTGCACTGAAGGAGGGCAGTGTTGGAACTCTTAATTCCATATAGGTCTAGCGGCGGAGCAAGCTAATCAGGCGCCTGGGGCCAGCCAGCCATGGGTCAGGGCCAGCTGCCCATGGGGGCACTGTGGGGCCTCCAAGGAGTCTGCCTGCCTCCTCCCACTCAGCTGCCCTACAGCTGAGGGGGAGGCAACCGGCAGACTGTTTGGGTCAGTGTGAAGCCTGTAGGCGCTCAAGCCACCGCGTCACTCCCAGGAGAGACTCGTGCCTCAGGTGCACTGCAGGCCCCGTGGTGAGTGCTGCCCACCATTTTGTCACCCCTCCTCAGGAGGGACACCTGAGACAGGCCTCACCTACCACACACCCCTTGCTATGCCCCTGTATAGGTCTCCTCTAAATCATGGATAATTTCTGTTGTTATATTGTATCTTATGTTGTGAACTGCCATGAGCTCTACAGATGAAGGGCAGTATAAAATAGTAATAGCAATAGTAACAGTAATAGTTAAGGTAAAGGTAAAGGACCCCTGGATGGTTAAGTCTAGTCAAAGGCAATTATGGGATGCAGCGCTCATCTTGCTTTTCAGGCCAAGGGAGCCGTGTTTGTCCACAGACAGCTTTCCGGGTCATGTGGCCAGCATGACTGAACCACTTCTGGCACAAAGGGACACCATGACGGAAACCAGAGTGCACAGAAATGCTGTTTACCTCCCCACTACAGTGGTACCTATTTATCTACTTGCACTGGTGTGCTTTCGAACTGCTAGGTTAGCAGGAGCTTGGAGAGAGCAATGGGAGCTCACTCCGTCATGCAGATTCAAACCGCTGACTTTCTGATTGCAAGCCCAAGAGGCTCAGTGGTTTAGGCCACAGCGCCACCCACTTACCTTAATAATAGTAATAATAAGCCCCTCCCAACTGTCCCCCAGACAGCCGCTTGAGGCAGTTGCCTCACCAAGCCTCCCGGTTTTACTCCACATTTGTAAAATAACTGCAAGGAAGGGGAGAAAGACAGCATCAGTGAAGTGAACTCATATCAGTGTGTCTGACCCATGAGGAATCGGGAAGGCTGTCATCACTTAAGCCTCAAGTTTTAGACCTGTTGGGTAAATTTCAGAGATAGGAACTCTTAGCTCATGCCACAGGAAAAGTTGCTGAGCTCATGAAACTCTAGAGATCTAATGAGCTCCTGCTCTTGACATTGTTTTCTACTTATAGTAACTGGATGGTGTCCAAGTGCCTTATCCCCTCTGCTGCTGCAATTCTATGCTCCACCGAGAACTTGGCTTGGAAGAGACTCTGCATTCCTTTCTGACTCCCCTCACAGACACTCAGCTCAGGGCTCAGAATAAATCCAGCAGCTATTAACACTTTGCAGTCTCTGTGTCTGCTTTCCCTCTTTTTAAAACAATCGTCTGTCAGCAGGGTGACCTGTGAGGGAAGCCTGTGCTCCCCTTGCTAGGTTGGGGTGAAGGCACTGCCAGCTTCTTTCTCCAAAGTGCAAGGGAGTCTGGCCACTTGCTGTGTTTTCCCTGGGATTGATTTAAAGTCCAGTTGCCTGCAGTAGCCCCCCATGAGATGGTTCCGGACTGAGAACCACCGTTAAAACTGATATTTCCCCAGTGTTTTCATACAGTTGCATTTCATAAGCCTGAATGAAAGCATTAATACAACAATTGGTAATATGAATCACTTAGTTGGTGAAATCTACGAGTGTGAGTGTGTGTGTATTCTTTGTAAGATTTTAATCTAAGCTTTCCTCTCTAGCTGTATGCTCAGGCTTTTGGCTCTGAATTTAGATCATAATGTGGTATGAGTTATGGCCTGTTTTTTGTGTTTGCCCTTTTTATTATTGTTGATGGATGAATGTTTTTATATACGTTGTTTTGGGGTGTTCTTTGTTTTAAGTCACTTTGAGACATTTCATAAAAAGTGAAGAATGAGTATACAGTGGTACCTCAGGTTAAGTACTTAATTCGTTCCAGAGGTCCGTACTTAACCTGAAACTGTTCTTAACCTGAAGCACCACTTTAGCTAATGGGGCCTCCTGCTGCCGCTGCGCTGCCGGAGCACAATTTCTGTTCTCATCCTGAAGCAAAGTTCTTAATCCGAGGTAATATTTCTGGGTTAGCGGAGTCTGTAACCTGAAGCGTATGTAACCTGAAGCGTATGTAACCTGAGGTACCACTGTAATAAATAATTCATTAAGTGAAGAAAGGCCTAAATGGTCGTAGTAGTGTGAGAAGGGGCAGATGATCTAGATAGTTGTCCACATTTTCCATTGGAGAGCTAACATATCTAACTGTGTACCGTACTGTAATAAAGAAAGAAAAGCTGGATATTCTGTTTTTCAGACAAAATAGATTTGCCATGTCACAGAGAATTTACAGCGCTAACTTCCTAGAGGGGAAGGAAGAACATCACATGGATCTTTGAGGTCAGAATCCTTTGTATGTACTTTTCAAAGGATGCATACCTATGTAATGGAAAACTTTCTCACTGTCCACTGCAGAATGTTATCACTGTGAGAGTGTAAATGTGGAGATAAATGAGAGTAAATGCAGAGATGTGCATGGTATACACATTCCAAACACTTAGACAGGCTCTGATACATAGACTAATTTGGAAGCTCTCTCATGTTTTTCCTCTGCCATTGAACTGATATAGCCTGTCACACAGAGGGATGAATGAATGAAGGATGATATTGTCCCTTTTTCCTCACCAGCCTTTTAGCACGTTGGCGAGAGAGACAAGAGTCCAACTGACCTGTGTCCGAACCTTGAGTGTGATGAGACCTCTGAAAAGAAGAAAGAGAACATCACCACAGGACCTAACCTATATTGGGAACCAAGGAATTTAACATCCTCTTACCATCAGCATAAGGGACCAGGGGGTTTCCCATAAGTCTGCTGGTATCTTCCTCTTTCTGCACCATTGTTGCTGTTTCGCCTATATAAGGAGCCACACTTGGAGAATTCTAGCAAGTTGCTAGAATGTAGGATATCATTAAATAGCTTTAAAGAAAGATCACAGCAGATCACTGATATTTGGCTTCTGCAACAAGGTGACACTGGAAAACATGTCAAACTATTTCCCACCGCTGGGCAGCAAAGTTACAGTTTAGCCACATGTGTGACGGGGCAACACAGGGGATGAGGAATGGAGCTTTCTGTAGGTGGAACATGTTGAAAAGGGGGCTTGGTGTGAGAAGGTTGAAGAGTTCTCCTTGCAGCTGCTGTTGGTGTGGGAAGCATCTGAGATCCAGAAATTGCTGGCAGGGAAGAAAGGCAGAGTACTTGGGTCATTTTATGCTCAGCTTCATTGGGACCCGCTACCAGGAATATCACAAGGGGCTATTTAAAGATACCATCCACCTACCATCCAAGTAGGAAAAACTTGTCATCATAAAGATCCTGGCCACCAGAGTCCTATCCCTTCTTACTCAGTAATGAACTTGGGAAAGGTCACACAAGCTGAATGGACAAGTTGGCTGCTGTGGGTGACTTTAGACAAGTTCAGCTGACTCACAAGCTGAGACGGGGATCTAGACACCATGACACACACACCCTAGGCAAGGCTGCTGTAGTGCAGTCTACATGGGGCTGTCTCTTGGAGACTGCTCAGAAAGAGTCGTTCATTCATTCATTCAATCATTCAATTTGTATGCCACTTTTCCACACACAAAAATCATGTTGAAAGTAGCTTACAACAAAGAGTGCTTCCTTCACTTTCCATCTTCCCACTTTTGCTTCCAGTTTCTTTGCACCTTCCAGATCAAGGTCTGGGTATAGTTACACACAGCCCAGCAAGATTCTGGCAAATGAGCCTCATTTCTTCATTCAGGTGCTTCTGTTGTGGTTCCTGTTCACTATTATTGCTACTCAGAGCAACATTTGGACGAGAAACAAAATATGAAGGAGCTGACACCTAAAATGCCATTCCCCCCCTCCCAACACACACACTTAAGTAGAATCATAGAACTGTAGAGTTGAAAGGGAACCTGATGATCATCTAATCTAACCCCCTGCAATGCAGGAATATCCAGTTATATCCATATGGGGATCGCACCTGCAACCTTGGCATTATCAGTACCAGGCCCTAACCAACCAGGCCTCAAGGAGCTATATATATATATATATATATATATATATATATATATATATAATGCTCTAGATTATAGACTTCTCCTTGAAAGATTGTTTTTTTATCCCGATCCCGGACATCTCTCCTTGCAACTTAACTTCTGAGTCATTTGCTTAAGCCTTAAGACCACAGCTGCTTGCAATGCTAAGCATGCTTACTTGAAAGCAAGTTCCATCGCAAAATAAATGAGAGCAACTTCTGAGTCCAAAAGCAGCACACGCTCAACTGGAAAACGGTTCCTTTTTTCCATTCCTATTGGAAGCCAACAGATTGAATTGAGGAGGTGAGGTGAGTGATGCCTTTTCCTGCATGCCAGGCTTGACTCCAACCCCCTTGGATTTCTGCCTGCCATATTTTTACCCCGTTCTTCTTCCTCTCTCTGGCTATGTGCGCAATGCGGAGGAAGTGCCTGATGCTTGGCAATCAGCGTGGGAAGATTGGAACTGGTGGCGAGTTTTAATACAGCGCTGTGGAAACCATCCAGAGATTCTTGTCTACCGCTCCCCCATTGTTCTGTCTCATGCTAGACACGTCACCAATTTATGAGGGTACAAAGACACTTAATTTAAGCCACGGCATGAATGAATTTCCCCGCTAAGGGAGAGAGGCCACGAGAGAAGGGACAGGAAAAAAGAATGATTTGTGGCATCCAAAGTAGCTGCTGTGCAAAATCTCAGGGAAGGGAGCTTGAAAGCACTAGGCCAGGCTCTGCTGGGGGGGGGGGGGAGGCTGAGCCCCACTGATTTTATAACGAATTACCCACAAGGACTAATTTTACCTCATGACTCAAACTGAATTGAACAAAAATAGGTAGCACCTAGGTTTTTATTAGGCGTTGAGGGTCAAAGATAATTTTAAATGCTTAAAGCTTAAACAGGAATAGGAAATAAAAGTAAATAGCTACTCCCACTTGATGTTTCTAAGTCTGTGGATATTTGGGGCTAATACTCCTAAAGCATTGTTTTTGTTTGTTTTAAAATAATATTTATTAGTAGTTTTCAAAATTATAAGAAGAAAAACATTAAAATACAACACTATAATAGACAAAAAGAAAAGAAAAAACACAAAAACCAATACAACAATACAACAAAAAGATAAAAAGGGGGGAAAAAACACAAATCCCAACTTACATATCTAAAACTTCCATTTGCTTGTTTCATTGACTTCCTCACACCTCCCTTTTTGTATTCTAGTTTAATTATTTATTTCAGCAAATTCTTTCCATCTTTCTCAATTTTTGTTAAAAAATTCATCCTACCCTAATTTAATCTAATAATTAACTCAACAAATCCTTTCCATCTTTCCCCATATTCTATTATTTACATTACCTTAATTAATTTAACCTTATCTTACCCTAAAGCACCTTAAAGCTTGAATCTTAGTTATCAAATATACATTACTCCTGATATCATTTCTACTCCTAAAGCATTGTTTACTTCCTCTCTCCTCTCCTCCCATTGCTTGGTCCCTGCTCCTGCCAACCTAGCAGTTCGAATGCACGTCAAAGTGCAAGCAGATAAATAGGTACCGCTCCGGCGGGAAGGTAAACAGCGTTTCCGTGTGCTGCTCTGGTTCGCCAAAAGTGGCTTAGTCATGCTGGCCACATGACCCGGAAGCTGTACTCCAGCTCCCTCAGCCAGTAAAGCAAGATGAGCGCCACAACCGCAGAGTCGTCCCCGACTGGACCTAACAATCAGGGGTCCCTTTACCTTTAAATTCACAGGGGTAATCCTATAAACAGGCTTTCCCCATGAAAGGTTACACAGATAATGCATACCTAACTACTCTGCTCATCACCTTGTTAACAGACAGTTACCTTGAGCATCTGAAGAATTTTTCTTCACTATGCTTTTGTATACATTAATAGTGAAAAGCACTTGCTGATGGCCAGTTGTGTGTGTGTGTGTGTGTGTGTGTGTGTGTGTGAGAGAGAGAGAGAGAGAGAGAGAGAGAGAGAGAGAGAGAGAGAGAGAAACCATTTCTAAAAACTCAAGTATAGCAAAGCTGGGGCGGGTAGGAGAGGAATATCTATGTTTGTTCAATATAGTATGAGAAATGCAAACAGTACAACTCTCCCCCTTGTTAAAGGGAAAAAGGGAATCAAACTGTGGAGAGGAAAATCTGGAATGTATTTCTAAGGAGGGAAGATAATTTTACATAGGGAACAGTCACAGCAGGAGGATATATGGTATGAAATATCAGCATTCAATGCTGCCCAAGTTTGGGGTGAAGTCTCCGAAATGCATCCTTGGGTCTACTATTTCCAGCTGTTTTCAGTCAGCATAATTAACAACTAAGCCTATTCATCTGTTTAAAAAAATGAATGAACTGCTTGAAGCGTAATGCATAATCTCATGTCATTGCTGTCCCAAAGTGTGGCCCATGCACACAGTCCCTCCAACTTATGCAAAGCAGCAGAAAGAATTATCAGGAGGAAACAGACTCATAGAAGTCAGTGCCAGTCTTTGTCTGATTCTCCTCCAAAAGGTCTCTGCTTCAATGCAAGATTTGTCACAAGCTTATTTTAATACAGTGGTAAAGAGCCCTGCATTTCTGAAGCCACAAGGCATGCACAGACAAATAGCATAACTCTCCTCTCTTAAAAGCCAGCACAAAAATAAAATGAAAACTTTGAGAGGTTCTTTCTGTCTAAGAGGCACCCTCTGAGATGTTCTTATGGTTGTGTGATTTTTAAATCCATGAGAGCAATTTTGTTAATAGTTTTACCTTGAGGCATGAAAAGACATTTGGTAAAGGCTTTGAACAAAAGGCTAAGACTTTGAGAGGAATTGTAAGGGCATTGCAGATAATGAAATGTCCTGATTGTTAACAACTTTCCACTGAAATGGGGAGGAGGGACGCAGCAAAGGATAGCCTGGACTCTTTTAATCGTTTTCCGTAAAAATAACATGTTGCCTTTGTGCATTTAGAGCCTAACAAATAGAAAGCAACTTCTTCTTCTTTTTCTTCTTCTTCTTCATTTGCTGACAACCAATGTTACTATGAAGGCAACAACACATTTCACTTCTGTTTACTGGGTTTGCTTACCAAATAATGCAAAATAATTCACTTCTGTTTACTGGATTTGCTTACCAAATAAACGCACATCAAGGGTTCACCCCATTCAAAAGTGAAGTTCATATTTTTGCATATGATGATGGAGGTTGATTCTAGTCCACAAAATATTGTGCCATAATACATTTCTTAGGGGTGTAGCCAATGTTGTGTGTCCAGAGTTCCACTTGCACAACAGAACTTCTCCTTCTTCTCCTTTCCTTGCAAGTGCACAAAATTTGCTCCAGAGGATCTCCTGACCCTTTGGAGCAGATTTGGGGGATGGGGAGAGAAGAGGGGAAGGAGAAGTTCTGTTGTGCAAGTTGAAGGCGCTGGTATCGAAAGTCACTGAGGTTAAGGACAAAAAACAGGGACATATTTTTCCTTTCTCTCTTCTGACAGAGGTTATCCTACAGGGCAACCCAAACTGGGCCTAAACCCAGATTGAAATGGATCTCAAAAAAAGTACCGTATTTTTCCGTCTATAAGACGCCCCTTATTTTTGGGGACTCAGATTTAAGAAAATGGAGGGAGACACTATCCGTATATAAGACACCCCCTAATTTTTGACATTATTTAGGAAAAAAACCTAGTCTTATACACGGAAAAATATGGTAAGTTTCCTCCAAGTGTGCCTGAATAAAGTGTTTTGGGGCCCAAAAAACCTACCCAGATCCTTTGCAACAGTGCTATATCTAACAGATAACTCTACATTATTATTTGGAAAAAAGGCTTGGTAGCCAAACATCTCAAGGCTAATCTACTCAAGCAAGATATTGTTTGCTTATCAATTATTGCAGTTGACTGAAGTTCCTAGTTATCAAATAACCTATATTAGTAATTTAAAAATCCAGGCGACATATGCCTAGTCATATAAGCAGAAAGGAGGAGGGGAAACTGTATTATAGAATGATCCAGCCTTTGTTTGCATTTGCAAAGGGCAGGGTGCAGAGATACTGATATATGCAAACAGAACGATTCATGTACCACCCACTCAGCTACCAGGGCACACACACAATGCATGCCATTTCATTGATGCACCAGACATGCTATTGGAACACCAGACCGTGAGACTCCCACAGGAGGGCACACACATACCCTCAGCCCTACAGCAGGGAATCCAATCTAGCAAGTTTGCTGACATGAGAAAGCATGAACATGGGGGATACTGAAGCTTGTGTGTTTGTGTGTGTCCTCTGTATAGCTTCTACCCAGCAGCCATCTTCATATGCAGCATCATAGATGGATGACAGAACATAAGAGCATGACAAAGAATGTGGGCAGGGGCAGAGGTAGGGGGTGTGGACCACCCTGGGTGTCTTCGCTGAGGGGGGTGACATTTGGCAGTCGTGGGTGAGCATCGCGCCAAATGTCCGCCATTGGTGGCTCGCTCCGTGCACCCTCCGTGCCCCGCCTCCCTCGGGAGCATGCCCACCCTGGGCAGCACGGGCATATGCTCTGCCTCTGAAAGTGGGGAAGAGATTATACTGCAGGCACAGCCAGGGGTGTTGACATATTGGAAGCTTTGTGGGTTAAACAGTAGCTTTTAACTGTTCTCTGCTCTTCAGCAGCACACAGAGTCATTAGCTGATGATTAGGAGTTCTGGAAGAGGGAAGTCTTAGATATGGCCAACAGCAGGTGGGAACATATCCCCTGGGCTTCTTGTTTGTTTGTTTGCCACCTGATTCTGCCAGTGACTGAACAATCCAGTGAATCCCAGCTTTTACCTTTCCCTTAGCAAAGGCCATGCTATGATGTTCAAGCCCTTCCCAAGAAAGAGATTGCCACAATTATCAAAACACAATTTATTTTTTAAAGTGAATTGTTTACACAGTAGTGTGGTACAGTGGGGGGGCCAGGAGGAGAAGAGGCTTTTCCCTTTTTTGCAATACAAATTCCATGTCAGTACTAGTGGAACAAACAGTATAATGATGTAATTTGCATTTTCCATAGACACCACCACTACAAAACAGGTTAAGTGAACACAGAGATATGTACACACACTCCTATTCCGATTGGCTTTTTCGTATACAGTCCGTGCCAAAATTACACTATTATTTACAAAATGCTATATATCTGGGGAAGATTAAAGACTATAATCAGAAAGTCACAACAACAACAACAGCTTTCTGTGTCTGTAACAGCTACAAAAAAAATGAGGTATGAGAAAGTGTATAGAAAACTATTTCTATTTATGTGCAAGATGCATACTGTTATTTTAGACCAATTAGCTTGAGAAGTGCAGCTACATTATTACCCCTTCAATATGAAGGACTTTTAAATTGCTTAGCTTTATTTTACTGTTGTGAAGAGCTATTTCTTGGAGAAGAAAAATATTACTAAACTCTACAACAAGCAAGATAATAGGAGAGTTTGTCTCTACACTGAACAAGGCAAGTTGAGCAGCCAGTGTCTACAGGATTAAGGCATTTCATTCAGTCTCTCTTAAAAACAAAACCGTGCAATCACAGGAAACCCTGTGTGATTATTTTTGTTTTTTTAAGGCATAGCCTTTGTGTACATAGGATGAAGATCTACCTGTGAAGTGCGGTTGCAAAATTAGCTTACTGTTTGGCAAGTTGAAAGACAAGATTCCCGAAATCAGGTCTACAGCTTTGCAGGGGCCTATTTACATGAACAGTTCCCCAGCCCCTTATGCTTTTCACACTTCCTCTCACCCCCTCCACACATATCTAAGCCTAAAGGTCAGAAATTCAACAGATGCAGCTTTCCCCACTGCTGTAATTCACTGATGGGGAAAGTGCTGTCTGTTAGAAGTGCTGCCTGTCTGTACAGCTCTTACAAGGCACACTGCTTCCTGCTGTATGCTTTACTTTTGCCCCTACAGTACACCATACCCCTTTTCCTCTCTCTCTCTCTCTCTCTCTCTCTCTCTCTCTCTCTCTCCACTTCATTCCCACTTAAGAGGCCCCTTTTCACCACAATCCTAAATACCGAATTGTATTCTGGCCAAGACCAGCTTTGTCTTGACTCAGGCCTCAGGTTTGGCAGTTCCACCTCTCTCACACAATCTCCGCTACAACTTAAAAAGTAGGCACGAGGTTTTTTTGTGTGGATACCTCTGCAACATCCCCCTCACACAATCACAGCTTCCCAAAAAGCCACCACACACACTATTACTTCTTCACAAACTTCTCTGCTGCCCCCTAGTTAAGGCAAGTGGACAGCAAGTTAATGGTATATCGATCACTCGTTTTTTACATTAGGAGATGTTCTCACGGAAATTCATATTCTCTCTCCCTCCCCTCTGAAGTCCAAGATGTGGCTGTTGGTTTTAAATGTAAATGCATAATGTTCACAGTCATTTTCCCTTTTAAAAAAAGTAGTCAGCCTACCCTTCTAGGTGGCTTGCTAATGCTTATTGGGAAGTTTAAAGTTAGGTGGCAACAGATGCCTCTGAGTTCTATTATCATTCACCAATATGGAGACAAGCTTTCAATCCTGCTCCAGCTTTGCCATTCAGGGAAGAGGCCATTGGCTACCCGAGGGCTACCCAGCTGTTCACAGCCTGCCTCGTGCCCTTTTCTTGCCGGTTTGAGAGTCATGCAGCCTTTCCTGGGAGACGGCACTTGGACTCCATCCGACTTCCATTCTGCATGGACAATCTTGTAGTTCTGTCCATCGTTATTGTCCCAGAATGTGTGCTCGTCGCTTTGGTAATACACGCAAAACTCAATGTTCTGCTCAGCGGCAATGACTGGAGGCAAGTCAATAGCAAAGGAGAAGGTATCATTGTCAGAGTCTCCATACACATTGTTCATGTAGACGCAATTTATGTCGGAATAGGTTTTCCACGAATCATAGGTGACCCGAATCCGCACCTTCTTCTCAAAACTCACATTTTTCACTTTCACAGTCCCCGAAACAGCCCTTTCTTGGAGGGTGCAGTTCTCAAGACACACAAAGTTCTTCTGTAAGTGGTTCCGGAAGTCCAAGTAATCCGCCGAAGGCTGAGCAAAACCCAGAATCAAGTTCTTTTCCTCGTGCAGTTTTAAGCCAGCAGTTATGTCTTCAAGGTCTAGCAGGTCAAACTGAAGGTCCCACCCTGGATTCTCCTGAAACTCAGAGAAGACATGAATGGCGGTGAGAGAGAGACCTTTCGAGTCTGCAAAGACGACTCTCTTCTTGGCTCGTCCGGCAGAGCGCTTCCAGTCACTGTTTTGGGACTCAGTTTCACGTTTCACATTGAGGCACGGTCTGAGAGGCTTAAATCGATCCACAAAGTTCCTTCTCTGATATTCGTCAAGTGGGTTGAGAAAGCTCTTCACAGGTGGCGAACGAGCCAAGCATATTCTCATGGCCACATCTACAGGCATGATAGAACTGGATAGGGGCCTTGGGTCCAAGACTTCTATCATTCTGCAACATAAACAAAAATCAGTTAGGCTTGCGTTTGTACTGGAGGACATGCGCTGGAGGGAAGCCTCTGCAAAAGGCTCCCTTTGCTTACACTCACCCTCGTTCATAATTCATCATTTGCTGGCTGGGAGGCTGTAAATAATTCAGTCACAAGCAAGATTAGCCAGAACAGTGACTGGCAGCCAGATGCGGAACTGATGAAATAATAACACCCTATTCAGAACACTTGGATGAATTCCATATGCCATTTTGAGTCAGCCACGTTTTTAAATTCATGTTTGCTTTGCACCTATGAAAGCTTTTTGTATTTGTTTTATCAATAAAGCTCAGAGCAGGAGGAGTGCTCAGAATAAGGTTCTTAGATTGTAGATTCATACTTGGAAGGTAATCACGGCTCCAAATGCACAAGAAAAGGAAAGCATGCCTATCCTCTGTTAAAATTATAAAAAAGCATCTAAGTAACATTCATGAGAAATAATTCCTTTTTAAATCCCTTCTATGGAACCTCTTGTGTACCATACAGACAATATTTTCATGATGCTTCCTACAATCCTATTTTTTAAAAAAATACATAGGTGGCATCCAACTTATAGCACAATCCTAACCCATGTCTACTCAGAAGCAAGTCCTATGAAATAAGTAAGGCTTGTCCCAAGTGAGTGGTGCTATGACTGCAGCTTTAGCCATACTCAAGAGTAGACCCAGTGAGAGGAATCGTTTGTACTGGGTCTGCTCTGAATATGACTTAATCAGATACATCGCTATTCATCCATCTGTGAAGCAATTCAATAGTTAAATACATTAAGAGATCTCGTTAATTTCTCTGTGTACATTACATACAGGAAGCCAGCTATTCCCCCCAAGTACATTTTTTGTAGGCAACTATGGTTACTTATGACAGCCTAGTAATGCAGAGGGTTATAAGAGGAATCACTTAAGACTACAATAGTTGGTGCCTGTGGCGTGAGAAGCCTTCTTTTACTGCAGCTTTCCCACAAGCTCAGAAGAGACCGTTTAGGCCTAAGCAAGTACAAATCAACTTTATGAGGAGTCCAGCAATGAGGCTATTGGAATTTTCTAGACTCCTGGGAGGAAGGTTTCAAAGCATAGCTATTTATGTGGCATTTCATGAACACCACCCCTCTGTTGGCCCGGGAGGACAATGACAGGATGACTCCCAATTCTGACAAGGTTGTAAGAAGCAGAAGAGAATGAGCCCACAGAGGGAAAACCCCTTTCATGCAACCCCTTGTCTTTTCACTGCGTTTGAATGATTAGAAACGCAGGTATCTTTCCTGAAACCATTTTCTTGCAGAGCTAAGGGGAAGTTTCTGGTCGTTATGCTGAAACAAGCCCTTATTCTACACCAAGAGATTAACTCCAACAGACGAAGGATGATAGGAGCAAGTTGCTTTGCTGACAGAAAACACGCCAACACCTTCCTTAAGTAGGCGTTAGGTACAGGATCCGAAACCCCCTCCTGTAAAATGCGGCTTTCCAAAAACGCCTCGTCAGAGAACCTGCGCTAGGTTGCAGCCACAGCGCGACTCATGACGAAGCAAAAATAAAACACCCCGATCCTTCCCCGGCTTGCTCGGAAGCAAGTCCCGCCGCGTTCAGCTCCGAAGCAAGTGGGTGCAGGATTGCAACCTTGCTGAAATCACCCCCGTTCATTCCTAGGCATGGCCTTTCCCCCCTGCAAAGGAACCCCCCCTTTTTTACGCACACACACACAACAGGCTTACCTGCGTTAAATAGAAGAAAGTGGACCCGAGGAGAAGCCCATAAATATGGAGGGACGGTCGTGCAAACGGCAATCGGGGCTTTTCTGTGCGGCTCGACGGAGGAGTAACTTCCGCACGAGGCTTCGGGACTTTTGCTCTCTCTGTGGCTTTAACTCACCCAGTGCGTCCCCCCGATCCTCGCCCGCAGACTCAGCACCCCGCCAGCCTCGCTCCTGCTGCTTATCAAACGCTGCGCCGTCTGCTCCACGTGAAAGCGCCGCGGAAGCCAATCGCGTCGCAGGCCAGGCGCCTGCCGAGCGAATCAGCGCCGGGCTGCCCGCGCTGGGGGAGGCGTGATAGCTCCGCTGCCCGGAGGTGCCGTGGGATGGGGGCGAAGCATGCGGCTCTGTTGACACAGCCTCCAGCGGGAAGACCCTCGGCTCAAGGTCAGCCCCTGCCGGCGACCCAGGAATTAAGGCAGTTTTTACAAAATATATAAATAGGCCCAGAATGAATTTGGACAATTGGGGGGGGGGGGGGATGCTTCATTATATAGCGCACCTTTCTGTATTTTGTTTTATTTTTCTTCTGTAACTTACTGCACGACTTCCCTCTGCCCCAGCTGCAAGGAAACAGGCCTTTTCCATATTTGTTTTATTTATCACATATATATACACCACCTTTTTCTTCTGTGGAGCTAAAAGTGGTGTACACTGTTCTCCTCCACACCCCCACTCCATCTTCACAACAACCCTATGAGGTAGGTTAGGTTGAGACATGATGACTGACCCTAGGTCATTCAGTGACTTTTGTGGCTGGCTGGCTGGTTCAAACCCTGGTCTTGGTCTCTACAGCCACAGCAGGCGCTCTTAACTCTCCAACGGTTTGACTTCGCCTGCAAAGTCACACTCTTCCGTTGCCTCCTGAGACAGACGGATGCCAACAAAATCACTTCAGGACTTCCATTGGTTGCAGGAAACAATTAACAGATTTAATAAATGTTAATGACATTGCAGCCCAGGTTTGCTGGGTAACTTTCACCAGCAGTTTCACATATTCAAAAACATAGGGGACATTTGTGACAGCCCAAAAGCTAATGGCCAAGGGGAGGAACAGAAGTCACTCAGCATCACTGACTGGGTTCATCCTTCCAGAAAGGACTGGGGCCACTATAAATTTGTGTCTCTGAGACCCAATCCTGTTGGGCAACCCAGAAGGAGACAGTAGTTGGTGGTACTGAAACCCATTCGGAGGTCCAGAAAAACCAACAGGGTCACGCTCCCCCTATCCATTTCCCAGTGCAAATCATCTGTCCAAGGTGTTTTCTGTGCTATAACTAGGCCAAAAGCCAGATTGGAATAGATGTAAATAATCAGTATCATCCAAAACTGCCTTGAGTGGCAGTGCTTCCAGAGCTTCACTTTAGGATGAAAAATTAGACACTGGGTGATCATTGTGCAGGACCGTTCTGTCCACATCTGATTTATTTAAGGCTTCACCACCACCACCCTTTTCAGTGCAACAGGTATAATCCCTTCTCTTAAAGATGCAGTAATAACTTCTGACAGTGTGCTGTCCAGACAAGTACGCCTGGTCCTATAGAGCAACGAAAAGGGCACAGAATTTATTTGTATCTCTTGAATTCAGTCCTGCAAAGACATGTAGAGCCATAACTTTATTCCTTTGATACTCCTATTAAAATTAATAGTACTTTACTACCAAATTTCAGGATCCAGTCTGACTACACCATGTAATTTGGGTGCCCAGGGGCAAAAAGATGCTCCTGCATCTTTAAGAAAGGCGTAGATCCCTGTGCTTGCCAATTTTTTCCTTCTAATTCTCAGTAATTAGCAGCTTGGAGCCAACTCCTAGGGGCCCTGAGGGCTTCAGCCCCCACAATAAAACATTTGAGGAGGCTGGGCCTCCACAAAGTTGATTGGCATTCCCATTCAAATGATGTGTGTGCACTGTGTAATGTTATCCATTATGAGGGGCGGGGCTTACCTGGGCTCCCACAATATTTTATTCAAGTTGGCACCCCTTATTATAGGCACGGGACATTTTGCAGATGAGGAAAGGAAGCTACCCTTATGCATGTGAACAGGCTTGCCAGCAATGCATGCATATAGTTAAGGAAGATTATTATTAAGGAAGAGGAGCTAGAACCAAGCCCTTAGCATGTTTACCTGCTCAGCACATTTTGGAATTTCATATTTTCTGCCTAATGTATGATGCAGCTCTAGACATTTGCATGATTGTTACCTCAATATTAATCTCATGTTCTAGATCAGTCCTGGAGAACCTTCAGCCCTCCAGATGTTGCTGGACTGTAACTCCCATCATCCTTGACCATTGCCCATGCTGGCTGGGGCTGATGGAATCCTCCAGTATCTGAAAGGCCACGGGTCCTGCACCACTGTTACAGAACATTGGATTTAAGCATGCTTACAAGTTAGGAGGCTTTTAGTTTTTGTATTTTGTGGGAGTGGAAATATATGAATCCCTGTGACCCATGTGTGTGGGGTGGATGGATAATAAATCGGCTGGGTGCCTCGTTTCAAATCATGGGACTAGCACATAGAAAGTCCCAGCAGAGTTTAAAATCAAGTCACAACTTGTACAGCAGTAAAGTGTGGAAATAGGCTGTTAAATCTGTTTAAATATCCCATTTAGTTCACTGAAACAGTGGACCTCTTTCTACCCCTCTTATCATTGAACATAGCACACTATGTTAAGTAAGTTTAAAATACTTTACTTACAGATTCAAAGTTCTGACACATGCATTGTTCCATGCAACAGCAAGGAGAACACAGGAAGTAAGCTTTCAGGTAGAAAATACAGAATCTTGTTCCAAACACGTGCTCTAAGCTTGGGAACAAGCTTATATACACCCTTCTTTGTTGGCTACATGGTGCAGAGGGGGGTGGACAGGAAGAGAGGGCTTCATTTCCTCCCTCATCGGAGAAGAAGGGGCATGACCTAATAGTTTAGGAAACACAGCTGTCTTAGCCCCTTCATGCACTAACTAGCCCTATGTTTGCTAGTTGTATATGAATGCAATCTCCCACTTACTACTGGAACCATTAAGGTCACAATCCTAAGTACTCCTCGTATGAAATCTTACTTCTGAATAATAGTTATTAGTAGCATTGGTCTATAGGTGTGTCGGAAGAACAAGAAAACTAGGTCAGTCATTTATTTTTTCTGGAGCCAAGAGCTTATGTAAATTAGTCTGCTAAGCAAGACCACTTTTCTTTGGATTCATGATGCAATATAGCAAACCTCCAGAAAACGGGAGAAAGCCACTGAAATGAAAAGCAGCTGTTATTTCTCAACCCAACTAAGCAAACAGCTGCCAAGTCCTTTCATTCATTTCACGCAAATAAAACAAGTAAGAGGCATGGGTAACGCTTGCTGCTTTTTTATAGGTCAACTGTGAGTCTGCAAAAACTGTTCAGGGCTTGCATGAAATGGTGCAAAGGAACAACTTATTCTTTATTATTATTACTGAATTTATATTAACCTTTCATGCAATGAGCTTGAGGTGATGTTCCCCATTTGATATTCACGGCAACCCTGTGAGATGGGTTAGGCTGAGAGGCGGCGTGACTGGTCAAAGGTCACCTAGTGTGACTGAATGGGGATTTGAATCCTGGTCTTGCAGGTCCTACTCCAGCTCCTACCCTAATCAAAGCAATGCTACAGCCCTATCCAATCATTTTATCTAATTAGAATGAAGTGAGAGGACAGCCCTCTGCTGCATCCTCATCACCCAGCCATGTCCCCTTCCACTTAATGGATGGCGGGGAAGTCTCAAGCAGGGAGCCTGAGGTTTTGAAGCAGAGGTTGGATGACCAGCTGTCATGTATGATCTAGCTGAGATCCCTTAATTGCAGGGGTTTGGACCTGCGGCATCCCTTCCAACTCTGCAATTCTATGATTCTAGTAAGCAGGCCTATTCAAATAATTTTATAGGTGGGAAAGTGTGTTTGTATCTACAACAACGCTGGCTGGGAGGTATGTTTTGCATTCTTACTGGCTATCATTTGTGGGGTTATCAGCAGGGCACCCAGAGGCAAACAAAGTCCCTGTGAGTTGTGTAAAAAGAAGGAAATCCCTTTTCTTGCATGACAAACCGCACCTGCTAAAATTCCTTCTTCTGCACAAGTACAAGACCCTTGTCCTCCTTTGTGTCTGTTCACCCTGGTGGTAGGTCATGATTTGTGATAAATTCCCCCAAGTACCACTACTCTGTGTATGTGCTTTAATATGCTCTCTATGAAGAATATTGCCTAGCTTACCTGTCGTAAAGCTGCAGGAGAGGAGCACCCAACTAGCCATCACAAAAGTCAAAAGCAATTAGCATCAGCAGTGCTCCCTTCCCACAATTGGGGTTGCCAGTTGTTTAGCCTGGCCTCTGTAGATATGCCATTAATAATGGCTGTATATGCAAATACTAGCAGTTGATCTTGTTTCTCTTTCTGCAGCTGTACAAAGCTTCACCAGTAGGATCAAGCTGTAAGAATAAGCCATTGATATTTTTTCATGGTCACCCACCCAGCAATAGCTTGCCATTTTGTGATATATTGTTATTGCCTTATTTATGGTTGACTATTATTTTTTGTTTGCCGATTGTCTACTTCTTTCCTGAGCCAGCTGTGTGTGTGTTTAAAAGGGCAAATGACAGGGAGGCTATTCCTCCACCTCTCTACCCTATGGCTACAAAGCTGTTGGGCCTCCCAGATCTTGTGATAATTGCCGTTGAACAATGACTTATGCGGGAGCATTGTGTAAAGGTTTCACTGCCCTGGAGGCATGCTTTGCTTTTCCAGGAAGGCCCCTGCCCCCTGCCTATAATTATTTGACTGTGACAAGCATGCAGCCACCTTTTCGAGCCTCCTGCAGACCAGAAATAATCTTCCCACACTGTATCCCGTTTGTTTGTCTTGTTCACACTTTTCTTATTTCAGTCTCAGTGTGCCATCCAGGACAGGGAATGTATAAAAGGGTTCTGAAGGGTGGTTGTCACCCACCTGTCTGCAGCAGTTTTCAGCCATCTCCTTCAATGCAGCCTTTGAGCTGAGCAATGACCCACATCATTAATCCAGGGAAACACCCGCTGTCTCTCTGCTCCAGGGAAACAGGATTGCAAATGACTTTTGGGGGAAAGGCAGCTTCAGAATTTGGGCCAGCTTCTTCACCAGTGCTTTAATCACAGGCTGCTGCTTCATTTAGCTATTTACTA